GTTCAATTTGTCACAATGAAAATACATCCTGCATATCAGATATTTACATTATGATTAATAACAGTAGCAAAATTACAGTTATGAAGTAGCAACAAAAATAATTTCATGGTTGGGGGTCACCACACATTAGGAACTGTATTAAAGGGTCGAGGCCTTAGGAAGGTTGAGAACCACTGTTCTAAGTACATTCCTCTCTGGTTCACCATATAGACTTGACTTATCTGGAATTTGGATGGAAGTTGAGCCATGGGGGTGAGTTCAGTTTGAGACTTGAAGTATACTAAGGTCTGTAGACTTGCGGATTCCACCAGTCTCCATCAGACCAATAAGCCTAGTCTATTTTACAATTTTGAATTTTGTTCCACATTTTCACCCATTCTACCCAGGACCTTCCATTGTGGTCCCTGTCAGCAGTGGTAGCTGGATACCATCTGATGCTGGTTTGAGGGCCAGAGAGGCTGGAGTTCTATGTCCCCACGCGCCTTTCACTCCCTCCATCAGCTTTAGAACAGGAAAAGACCAGTAGTTGAACCTTCCATGCCTGCTCACAATCTTTTCTAAGACCTCAGTCACTATTCACCAAAGGAGGAAGTAGAGCACTGTCTTTGTGGACTATGTTATACTGCCTGATTTTCTAATGGTTTATATTGACTTTTGTGCTTACTGCTTCCTTACTTTTGAACCCACATCACTTTTCCTGCTTCGGCCGGAGAAAGTATCCCATCATAGACTATCAGAGGAGTGCATTGTGGCAGTTTGCTTGAAAGCATCTCAGTGTTCCTCATATTCCTTTCCCACGGGCTGTCACGAGGAGCATGATGTCCTTGTGAGAGCAGTTGTCCCCACTGCTGTGATTGTATCAACACCTTCTTCTGCAGTTAAGCTAGCTCTCTGTTCCCATATTCATGTTGGGGGTCATCACATGTTGCACGCTTGGGAACTGAGTAGATTTTTGAGCCTCTAAAGTTATGAAAAATTATAAAGCTAGTTTGCATGATTCATTGGCTTGCATCTCTTTGACTATTTCATTTAAAGATTCTACCCCCACCCCACCCCTCTCTAGCATTTTGGTCTACTCAACTGTATTTCCTAAACAGCATTAAAAAAAAAAAAAAAAAGAACTCGCAGGTACAGGTTGTGAAGTTATTCCTCATTGAAAAAAAGTCGCATATGTCAGTGTTCATCCAGAAGTTGAAATGTTCTTTTCTCTGTGCTTTTAAAAGTCTAGAAGGTATTTCAGATCATCTACCATCATATAGCTGTCGTCTTGTTGGAATGCAGAAGTGTAGTTCCCTTGAATTGATCGAGGCTTAAGCAAATAGCCATATGCTGATAAGAGTATACACTAATTATATTCGTTGGCAAAGAAATACCTTATTTAAATTTCTTGCAATTAAATGTGTGAGCAGTTGTGCCTAAAAACTGATAATATAAATGCGTAGCACAAAGGCTATATAAACCTTGTTCAAACCAGTAGATATTGCTTACTTGGGCTTTGCAATCCCAGCTGTTGTGGTCAGCACCTGGCTGTTGTGGTCTAGGTAACACTGGTGGGTTCTTCCATTTAGAAGTGCATGAAAGCCAGAAGATGACTTACTGAGATCAATCCAACCCACGGGGTAGAATGAGAACATACAAGTATCATGACTCAATTAGCATAAGTGAAACGTTTTTTAACTCTGCACAGCAAAACACAAGGTCTTCAGTAGAAATCACCTTTGCTCCTGTTCGCTGAGAAATGTCAGCAGGTTGCTGCCACAGATTAATTAGCTGAGTGTGTGCAGTCCCTGGAGAAGGACATCATGTTGGGTAAAGCGGAGGGGCCGCGAAGGCGAGGAAGGCCCTCAACAAGATGGGCTGACCCCACGGCTGCATCAGTGGGCTCAGGCTCAGGACCGCAGTGTTTCTGTTGTGCAGAGTCGCTGTGCTTGCAGCGGACTGGAGGACACCTGACTGCAACAGAATTAGCATGTGAACAACATACTCCAACTCACAAAGACTGTGGAATTCTTGGGGAATGTTTGCAAACAGAGGCTCAGAGAGTCTCCATTGTGCCCCATTCTGCGTCCTGTATCATCTAAGTTTGGGGCTGCTCTTTGGGATGAGGCTGGTCTTGATTCACACACTGCCACGCCCCTTTTTATATCTGACCATTATGAATACTTCTCAGCTTCTGTATTTGTAATTATTGAAAGGTTACGACAGTGGGTATCTTAGTTACCTGCCACTGTTGTAACACAGCTGCTGCAAGTGGGTGACTTCAAAGAACAGAAATCTATTTTCTCAGAGTTCCACAGGCTGAAAGTCCAAATCGGGGTTCAGCTGTGCAGATTCCTTCCCTCTCGGTATCCCTTGCCTTCCTTGTGCTCTGTGGCTTATAGACAGCAGCCGTCTGGTGTCTGTCTTCCCCTGTGTGTGTGTCTCTGTGTCTCTTTGGTTCTTTTCATAACTCAGAAGTGATTAGGTTTAGGATGCACTCTATTCTGACATGGCCTCATTAACAAAACAAAAGAAGGGCTTATTTCTAAACTGGATCACATTCACCAGTACAAGGGTAAGATTTCCATACCCATTTTGAGGAGAGGGGGCTTGCCACAATTCGATCCATAACAGTGGGGGATAGGGATCCCCCACAATTGTTTTATTGGCATGTAATCCACATATCATACCATTCATTAGTTCAATAGCATCAAGAAGAGTTGTACAGTTATTACCACAATCAGTGTGAGAACATTTTCTTCATTCTTGTACTCACTGTTATTAAAGGGAAGAGGGCTTTTGACTGAAAAAGACAGAAACTCTATTGAGAGTTAATGATAATAGGTGATTTATTATAAGGACATATATTAATTGAAGTTCTGGTTGCTAGCAATTTTCCTTTTTTCATGGGCCGCATCATCTCTTTCTTCCACCATGTATCAGCTTCTCTTTATCTGTTTTATTTATCCTCTTTCCTTCATACAAAGAAGGCTTTAATTAGCTTATTGATAGTTCTTGCTCCCTCTTTTTTTAAATTAAAAAATAGTTTTATTGATAAGTACTTTGCATGTCATATCATTGAATTGTTCAATCATATTAAAAAGAGTTGTGCAATCATCACCATTTCAGAACATTTTCTCCTCAGACTCATTGTTGGTGACTCCGATTACCCACAATCCTCCCTTGCCTTTCCCCTCGGTAATTATCTTGCTCCCTCTTAAGTTCAACTTTCACCCGTCTCTCCAGCCTCCCTCAAAATCTGCACCTGTAAGTTTCAACTCTGAATGAGAACTGGCTCAGTGTCACATAAATTGTTAGGGATTTCAGGAATCATCTGTCTGACTAAATCGCAAGGCTGCTTGAGAAGAGGGATGATGTTTATTTTCCTTGCCACGGCCAGCCCACAATGCCTGGCCCAAAATAGATGCTAAGTAAATGTTTTATACATGAATAGAATATACACACACACACACCATCTAAAATATACTGACATTCTTTTGTGTGTGTGTGGAGTGGTGAGAACATGAGCTGAACTGGCTGAGTCTTCTCAGACACCCATCAAACCTTTTCCTGGGTAATGAGAATTTTTTCACTACTCCAAGGACCTGCAAACTGCTGTCCAAATGAGGGTCACATTTATCCCCCATTGAGACCGATGTGATGAAAACATTTCAGCAGTAAATATTGAGGGAGAGATCATTTCCATGGTGGGAAGGCAAACACAGAGTTTTCTCCCTGTTGTGAACCAGGGACAGGATGAGCCACCACCTACTCGCTCCCTGCCAGGTGTCGTCCCTCTGAAATCCAGCAAGAAGCAGTGTCCGTGCCGACAGAGCAGCCCTGTTCTGCTGGGAAGTTCTGGTGTGGGTAATGGAAACAAGAAAACCAGGTGGATGGATGTTTCCATTTCCTAGGGCTGCCACAGCAAAGGAACAAACTCCAAAAAACTCACTGCCGTCGAATGTTCCGACTCACAGCGACCCAGTATGACAGGGTCAAACTGGCCTTGTGGGTTTCTGAGACTGGCACTGGTTATGGGGATAAACAGTGTTTCTCCTCACTTTCTTACTCCTAGTAAGAATGAACAAACTCAGTAGTTTGAAAACAACAGACATTTGCTTTCTCAGTTTAAGAGCTAGAAATCGGAAAGCCAGACGTTGACAGGGCATGCGCCCTCCAGAGTCTCCAGGAGAGACTCTGCCCCGTTGCCCCTTCCACCATCTGGTCAATCCAGGCATTCTTTAGCGTGAGGCCGGACAATTCCTCTTCTCTTTATAAGGTTTATGGCCCACCCTAATCCAGGATGAGCTCATCTTGAGATCCTTACCTTAATTACATCTGAAAAGAGCCCTCCTCCAAATAAGGTCACCTTCACTGGTTCTGTTGGCAAAACTTGGTGCGTAGTCAGTCAGTCTACCAGTCCGGAGGTGGAAAGGTGAGAGAACGTAGATGCAAACCCAGATGCAAAACAGTTTACTTGGCAGATGCTCTGATGTCAAAGTGGGTTATGAGTTGGCCTGCTATTGACAGAGTCAGCAGTTCAAACCCGCCTCTGGCTCCGAAAGCTGAGGCTTTCTGCTCCCGCAAAGATCAATGGCTCCGGAAACCCCCAGGGCCAGTCCTACTCTGTCCTCCAGGGTCAATGGAGTCAGAATTGACTCCTTGCCTGGGAGTTGGTTTTCTGTGGCTGTTTGGTAGCTTTGGGAACTGTCAGTCTATACCCTAGAATTTGAGCTCCTGGCTATCAGCAGAGAGTCTTTGGGTGGGATGAACACTTAAGTACTTGACTCATAGCCAAAAGGCCAAGAAATGATATACTTGACTCCTAGACATTGCCAAAGGGTTACAACCTGCACAGTCCCAGGAGGACAGACCCACGGGATCTCTGTGCATCGGAAGTCAACCGGACAGCCACTGGGTGTTGGGTTGATTTAGGTATCAGAAAGGTGATTAAGTCGAATGTTAGGGTTCATAGTCTAGAGTTTAACATGGATCAAAATAGATTTTCTTGTCGTTTACAGGAAATGTTCGATGTCATCTTGGACGAGAATCAGCTTGAGGATGCGTGCGAACATCTGGGAGAGTACCTCGAGGCATACTGGCGCGCTACTCACACCACCAGTAGCACCCCTATGACCCCCCTGCTTGGAAGGAATCTAGGCTCGACAGCACTCTCACCGTATCCTACAGCAATCTCCGGGTTACAGGTACTGCCACTTTGTTACTTGGGGCTTTACAACCATGTCTTCGGGTTCCATAGATGACTTGATTCAGATGGACACTGAAGTGCCCAGAATCTGAAGTAGGACTCATACTGGGCATTATCTTAAAAACCCAAAACGGTGTCTAAGCGTGATCTACCCTAGGCAAAGTTCCCCAGACCATGACCCTTTCCGCAGAATGGAAAGTCTAATGTGATTTACCTCTTCAAATGAATCGTTGCTTGGCCTAAACTCCGCTCGGAACATAATACCTGAACTCGACCAACTGTTAATCTGCTTACCACTTCCTAAGAGTTCTGCTGTGGCTGGAAGGCCAGACAGACATCCCAGCTGAGAGGTAAGGTATTTTAGTTAAATCCTACCCCACAGGCTCCGAGCTTGCTCTCAGGTGTGTACAGGACAGAATGCTACACATATAGTTGCTCTGTTAGGGGACAGGGACGGATCCCTCCACAAGTCTGGGTGTCCTTGCAGCTGCGCAGCAACTCTCATGGGGGCCCCTGTGGTCAGAGGCTGTGACGAGAGCCCCTTAGAGACAGACACTGGGGCCAGCACCCAGGAGGAGGTTCTCTGCTGCACTGTGCCAGTGCTGGCTCAGAACTAACTAAATGTGGGGAGCCAGAGATATGATACCAAATGAATCTTGCCTTTCTACATTAATTATTATTTACCATTGATCAAACAGCTGTTGGAGTGAGGCCAAAGCCCCAGTTGACTGAGGAACAGGTCGTCAATTGAGCCCTCTCGCATCCATGACCAGTGTTGTTTTAATGATAGTCATTATTGTGGATCATGTAGAGTTAACTCTGAGATAGATAAATGGCACTCTCTGAAATGTTATTATAACTGTATTACCCTGTTAGAAAATTACATCTTTGTAAGCAGAAAAGAAGAAAAAACTGGTCATCTAAGTGAACAGATACAAGCCTGGAAATAAACAGCAAGAGTATCCTATTATAATATACAGAACATATGAATACACTCAGACTATTTCTTGGCTTGCTTCACATCCTGAACTTAGTGTGATGCCTCCATTGACTCGTCCAAGTTGGCCCTGAAATGGATATTGTAACCCAAGCTATGGCTGCCTAAAGCACTGTCCGCAGAAATGAGATAAAATGTTGCCCTGGGGTGATGAGTCGCAACACTCCTGAGTACAACATCTTGAAGACCATCTAGGGTGGTTTTCCCAATTTCATTAATAGTTAATATGATGCCCTTTATCCTGTGACCTACGTATCCTCGTACCCATTCACCCTTATTTGGTAGACACCGGGCTGAGACTAAGGGCCTGTAGCCGTTCAATCCGTTTCCTCCTTTGTGAACGTAAAGGCCCCTTAGAGGATTCGCACCTGAGCCCTTGGTTTTATCAGGAGATGAGCCTAGCTCATTAACTGAGGTGACCTACCTAAGCAGGTGGGCACAGCAAAAGATAGGTGTTCTCCCATAATGTGAAGAAAAGTTTTCAATAATAATTCCCAAGCCACGAAATAAGATTCTGAAGATATTAATCCCAATTAATTGTACTAGAGGACTTTAGTTCCTATTGGATGCTATTATTGCATGACATTTTAGTTAAGGAGCAAGATTTATAAATGTATTAGAAGTTGAAGAAAGGGATAGAGCCATAGGTGCTATTCTGAATTTTATTTCCCTGTAGTAAAATAAGCACCATTTTTTTGGCCATAAAGTGGAATTATTAGACCTCCCTCAATATACGAAGTTCTCTTCAACAGTTCATTTTCAATTCTATATTTTTAATGGAAGTAGAACCATAGGCAGTGTGATGCTGTGTAATTAAATTCATAAACCACCAGCACTCTGGCATCTTTGCATTTTGTGTCCCAAGTAAACACAGCCAGGCGTTGAGAGGACCGTTTGTGCATCCAGATGGTGTATGAGGTCCACTTCACAACATTTCCTAAGTCAGCCAGCTAGGCCGCACAGCTGCACATGCAGTTACGCGGTCATGCCGGATCCAGGTGCTGTCATTTAATCGATGAACTCTCTGATGTTTTCAGAGTCAGCGTGTGAGGCGCAGCAACCCCTCTACAGAGAACTCTCCTATTGAAAGACGAAGTTTAATGACCTCTGATGAGAATTATCACAACGAAAGGGCGCAGAAGAGTAGGAACCGCTTGTCTTCCAGTTCCCAGCACAGCCGAGATCATTACCCTCTCGTGGAAGAAGATTACCCTGACTCATACCAGGACACTTACAAACCCCATAGGAACCGAGGCTCACCCGGGGGATACAGCCATGACTCCCGACATAGGCTTTGAGTCGGCAGAAACAAACAAACAAAAATATCCATCAGTTGACAATTTGCCATCGCACTGCTAGGATAAACCAGTCATCTTAACTTGGCAGGTAGAGCACAGTGTTTACTGTGCTGTGGGCTGCTGTCATTTGAAGCTAAGTAGGGGGCAAAAACACAATCAAATGTGCATTATGCCCTTCTGCCTAGATGGATATTAGATGCCCAATCATAGATATTTTAAGTGCAACATTTACATAGCAGTACCTTTTGTTTTCTTCATTAGATTTAAACACATCGATTTGTAATTTAGGGTACTGATCAAGGCACACATAAAACAATTTCCCGTGCTGGAAATTCCAAATGACCAGTTCCAGTTGGAACCAATTTATAAACCAATTCCTGTTGGAATTTGGGTGAATTGACTAGAAAGTCTACTTGAGCATGTTACAATCAATTGGAAAACCAGAGAAAAAACAAACAACCAACGTAATTAATAAGAAAATCAGAACACCAATAGAAGCCAAAACCAACTATGATATTTATTTGTTGGAATCAAAATTGACACTTAAAGTTGGAATGTATATTTTAATATATGTTGATGTTGCCAAGAATGGCTTTTTCGGACTCAACTAATGTATTGATAGTGCCAAAAAACCCCAAAACAAAGTCAAATTAATGCAGCAATTATATAGTTTCCTCAGATTTTTATATTCTTCTTTTTCTCCCGGCACAGTTGTTGCATTCAAAGTGTTTTGGTTTAGGGTGGGGTATTTTTGCATTTTGTGTAGTCACTACTGTTAGTCCGTTTCAAGTTGGCAATGAAACTCAAAATTTTTCCAGCAATCAGAGAAGAGTCGATGAAATGTCAGGCTTACCTGGTCTTACGAAGTGGAACATAGGGTGTTGTTTCCCCACTTTGTCCCTCCGTCTGAGCACAACTACATACATCCAGAGATCTGAAGGCGGGTCGTCGGGGTGTGACACAGACCCTCCTTAGTGCAAAGCTAAGCGACTACAGAAGGGAAGTCACCTAACCCACTTCACCACAAACATCCGGCCAGCACAATTGAGCACCTTGCCCTTGCTTCACCCAGCTCTGCCTTCGAATATCGGAACGTTCCAGCCCTTCATGAATTCTTTGTAATCGCACCAAGGATTTTTTTTGTTTTACATAGACATGTTCAATTTTGATATTGAAAGCTCTGTTGATCCAAAATGATTCACTGAAATTTTTAAAACAAAAGGATCAGAATTTAAGAGCTAGCAATAAAAATGTCAAAACAAAACAGAAACTCCCAGATTTGGAAATATTCTGGTTCACTAAATTGGAGCATTTTTAATGCAGTGCATTGTAAAGAATTTGGAGTTGAGTTGCCTTATATGTAATAAGTGCTCCTCTTCACCCATTCAGTCTTCATAGTTTGTTCCCCAGTGGCCACAGTTATGAAATTGGATACTTTATGTCATAAATCAAGGAAACCTAGATTCACGATGGCCCAAGAAATTATTGAAATTGACCTTTTTATACAGTCAACAAATCTCTTTAAGAAAAGATTCTTGTTTCTAAAACTCCACAATGCATGCATTTTCTAAAATTCCCAAAACATGGGCCATAAAGATCCTTTTCTACTGGTTCATGTCATGAAGCCTATTTTATGAGAACAATAGTTTTATATTATCCAGCCCCCCTTCCCCCAGCCTTTCAATAATTAGGCTCTCAAGCATGCACCAGTGAAATAATTCTTCTGAAAGTAAATGCCATATTCTTCATAAGAGACTCATATCTTGAACCATATTCATGACCTCACCACATGCCCTTTCCTCATAGTCATGGCTTGTACCCCATTTTGAACCTGCTTAGCTGATAGTGAGGATGCAATAATTATAAGTCATCTCAAACATTTCATACAATTAAGAAATGTGGGCTCAGTACATGTTGAAAAGTTAACCTGTGATACTGGCTTGTGAGAGTCTTGTCATCTCACGAAGCTCACAGAAATCCCCGTTGAGACGTTTCATGGAGCTGTATCCATTAGGCACTTTAATAAACATATAACCTGCCATTACTGAACACTTTGTTAGAGCACAGAAAAGCATTTTCCAGCAAACAAAACTATTTATTATGTGTACAGCACATATTTGCATGAGAGAGAAAACATTAGCCAAAAACATTTTTCTATATGCTTTACTGGTTTCTTGTTTGTGCGCATTAAAGTATTTAATTGCAAAGAGTGCACCAAGGTGTATAAATTTAGACTAGACAGCTGTTCGGCTTTTTTCTGTAGTAGCATTAGCAATCTGGTCATTTAACTACTTTAAGATATTTACATTTTATGGCAGGTAGCTGCAACAGCATTTGCATATATTTCCTAGTTAACAAGATTATCATCTTTCAAAGTTATAAAAAGTCGCTTGTTTTCAAAGGCCTCTCAAAGTCTTTTTTTCGAAGTTTTCCATGTTATGCTGAGCAAGAGATGGAGGCTCATTCAATATCTGTGCATAAAGCCAATCTACCACTTAACCATCAACTCTCCATACTTAATTTTGCTTTATAGTCTTTCTCAAAAGCTAACAGTTTTGGAAAGGGTATAATGTATATTTTCTGGAGGGATAGATTTAAATTTTCACTCTAATTTGGCATATGCTTTCTTTCCCCTGCCTTTTGAAATAAGTTTACCTTCTCCAAATGAGAGAGAGAGCTGCATCTTCCTTTTCTGTTTAAGTCAGAGTTTCTCGTGTAGCTGGAAATGATAGTAAAATACAGATAGATACTAAATGAAAAATTTTATTTTTGCCAAACACACCATAGCACCTTTGGAAAAATATATATTCCACAGATAGTTCTTTTTTAATTGATTTTAAAATAGCAAATGATAAGAAGCAGGGAAAACAAATCTTCAAATATTTTATAACTATTTTAACTCATAGCATAGACCATATATTATCATCTTACAATTTCAGTCAAATCATTTGTAATAATGTGGACTCATGATAATACAGAAATGTAATAATCATGGAGCAAAAAGCTGCAGTTTGCTGATCCCCCAATGTTAACTCTAATGATTATAATGTGATTCCAATACAATCAATAATGCTGTCTTGTTCACTCCAATATGTTAAAAAAAATCACTTAGAAATGTTTATCAATGACTTGATGACTCTCTATTACCTTTTTGCAGTTCTGTTGGAAAGTTGAAACTGTTAACAAAGTAGATGGATCTTTCCTAACAAGAATCTTAAATATGTGACTTATATATGTGATATGGTTCATTGCATTTAATCCTCAATGAAATGCATTTTTCAAAATATCAAAAAAATTCTGAGAAAATTATTTGTTCCCCTTAAGTTGATATGTTATTTAATTTAATTGTTATTGTTGTTTGCAAATGTATTTTGGAATGTTAGCCTCTTCTCATTCCTGCATACTTGAACTTGTCTTTCATGTGGAGGGCCTTAACATTAATATGAGGAGCTAGGGGCATTGAAAAGGAGAGAGAAGGGAAATCATGCCAAATGGTGGTTTGCAAATTTAAAGTCTTTAAATGAACATATCACAAAAAGTTGTTGAGACCCAGCTTCTGTCAGTTAAGAATGTCTCTAGGCAAACTCTTTGAATGCTAGTGTATTTTGTTAGTAACACACTTTCATTTTGTCATTTTAACAAATGGAATAATGTATTACCACTACAGAAAGTGCTCTATGTATTGGTATTTGTACTACCTCTTCTCTAGAGAAGACAGTCTGTCTTTAAAGGGAAAAACACTTAACGATAAATAATGATCGAATTTTTAATTTACTATACTTGCTAACCCTGCTGCAAAGCTAAGGTATCTTCCCTTTAGATTTTAAACCGTTTCTAAAATACTGGTCACCCTTTCCTTTCTTTGTGGCATTTTCTTTAAATGAGTTCGCAGTTTATCATGAGACAAAGTTCATTTAATACATCAGTCATCATAGGGAACAAAATGAACTGCGAGCGACATTCCTTTGGTGTGCCACTTGTCATAATATCTGGCTCTAAGTCCAAAAGACAGTGTATCCAGAGATGTGCTGTTTACATGCAGCTGGTTGACAATTCTAGATTTGTCGATTTCTCTTGGGAGCACCTTGAGCATTTACTGTAAAATGGATATTATCTTGGTCTCCAGGTCATTAGAACAGAGTTCATATAAATGTTTCAAATAAACACACGAGTACCCATTATTCTTTTTATTGTCTGCCTTTGTCCTTCATAACAATGCTGCATGCTGCTTTTGTTTTATAAAACTCACCCTTGGTTGATGATGTGAATGAAAATTTTATAGGAAATGATGTAATAAAGTTTGTTTTGTTAGTTCCTGTACCTTGAAATATTGTTAATACAAAAACTTACTACTCTGCCTGTACTGATAGGGCCAAGAACAGCCCTCTCCTGAATGAGCATTATGACCAAACCAGTCAATACAATAGTTATCAGGCTGGCAGAAAAAGAAATCTTTTTTAAACAACTGACATCAGCAGTCAAGTTTGTCAAAGTAAAATTGGCTTGTATGGTCAGAATTCAAGAATTACTTTTTAAAGATTTTTTCTTTGAATAAAACAGTCTTTCTCAAATGAAATATGCCTTTAGAGGACTTATCTCTAGGTTCTTGAGGATGACTTAATCCCACATGTTTCATGTAGTTGAGGGACCGTAGGGGAAGAATATGAAATGTTGTCAAATTGACTAAGTAAGGGCTGTACCTCCCACTTGTTGGGAAAAATGTACAATGTACAAATGTACAAATAAAAGCAACATTTTTAAAAGTGAAAAGCAATGAGTTTTGAGGGGTCATAGTCACATATGAAATGTTTCATCATTGTTTTGTTTGATGTATATAAAACGTGTGCAGAAAGATGGTAGAAAAATGTTACTCGTGAATAAGAGTGCTTTGGGGAATACACCGATAATTTACTATTTGAAGATTCTGAGGGGTTAAAATGAGACTATATAAAAATCCAAAGTGACCTCTAGTTTTTCACTGCTTTGTAAGTCTTCTTGGTTATGTTTTGAGCGCTTACATTTCTCAATGAATGATTATGTCAATATTTTTGTAGGGACCACTCTGCCCTACATGCATGCCTCTTTGACCCACTTTTAACTGAAAAATCAGCGTGAATTCTGTATGCATAAGGGATGTATTAGAGATGCAGGATCATTAATGCTATATTATTGCATACTATTTTTCATATGCCTTACAAATATTTTCTGGGACGTTATTAAAATGAAAGCATTTTATTGCCAAAATAAATCTATGTTGTCACTTCTAATCTACATTAGCAGTAGAAGAATAATGTAGCAAAAACATATATTGTACAGTACAAAATTATATAAATATATTTTGCCAATAATATGAAAATAGACTGAGGAGAAAGAAGCACATTTGTTATAGCACAAACTTAACAATAAAATCCACTGTTAAATTTGGCAGTTGTATTTTTTAAAAGTATATAGATTTAATTCTAAGTTTTATCAGAGTTATTTCATCTACCATCTTTTTAACTTGCTGCTTGATACTTCTCCAGCAATTTATTTCACAGCCTTGCAGTTTGTGGATGTGATATATTTTATTTTATTCCCTTCCATAAAGAAAAATTTATTAAATTTTATTTTGTGACAAGACTCATACTATATTTACTGTTCTTATTTCTTCTCCTTCAATAGCAGCTACGAACAGTAACAGCAGGTGAGCTTATAAGTAGGGCTTTTCTAAACTGTGGACATGTTTGAAATGTTTTATATTTTCACAGCCTAAAATCAGAGTGATCAATAAAGCTGATCAATGAAATAGCCTTTAGGGATTCCGTAATTTATACTGAATATGATATTGCAACATAATTTAAAACTTTTAGTCTTTGGCTACTTTTTATTCCTGAGAGGGTGGTGGGAGGGAATAAAAATTAGGCAAACTTGATACAAAATATACTACAAGTAAATATGTCAAGATGATGTAAAAAAAAAAAAAAAGTCCCTACTATCCTGAGAGCTGTTTATATCTCAGGCTAAAATGTGGCAAATAACAAAAAACTTTGCCTTTGTCAAAGAATTATTTTCCTTCCTTTAAATTTTATTTGTTTTGATCATTTGTCTCTTTTATTTTTCTTATATAGGTATGTGTAGCATTCTACAAGGCATGCTGGGTAAAATATACTATGCAAATGTGTACAGTGCTGCATGTTTTGTTCTTCTGCTTTAGTGGCTTTAAAAGAAAAAGCGTGTTGTTATTTTTGTGAACAAAAACATTTAGCAAAGAAAATGCAGAGTGCATGCATATAATAGCCAAATTTCTATGGATTTGTTTTATGGAATTTAAATGTGTACAAACCAATTGCATTAATTTTTTCTTTTATATAATAAATGGAAAAACCCACTCAAACCAGCGTTTTACCTCTCCTTTATATTATTCTAGAGATATACCGAGGAAATAGTAATAATAAGGTGCATGCCTATATCTCTTAGAGGAACAAAAAAATCTGAACATATACCCTGAAAACAGATTTCATTAAATGTCAATTTCCTGAAGACTCTGCTCGGTGCTCTGAGTAGACACAAAAGCAGTACTATATTAGGTAAGAGTTTGTAAGTCAAACACACCTACACACTTACAATAGGTGTGATTAAGGATTTAGTACAATATAGTTGCAAACTATTGTTCAAGAAAAAGAACAAACCCCCTAATACCAAACCCAGTGCAATTGAATAGATTCCAACTCATAGCAACCCACAGGACAGAGCAGAACTGCTGTATAGTGTGTCAGAGACTATAAGTCTTATAGGGAGCAGAGAGCTTCATCTTTGGCCCATGGAGCAGCAGCTGGTGGTTTCGAACAACTAACCTTTGGATGGCAGCTGAATGCGTAACCACTATGCAATCAGGGCTCTTTTTTTTTTTTTAATTACAATCCTAAGTGCTTAATGTATTAGTTACCAGAAGCTTCCAAAAGTATCTTCTACTAGTATGAATTCCATGAAGAATATATTACTTACAACTCTACATTAAATATGATTAGTTTTAGTTGCCCATGGTATCAATTGATACTCTGACTTTTCTCACATCACAAAATACGGGAATTTCAAAAAGAATGCGTAATGTGTGTAGTATATTATTATAACTGCATTAGAGTTATACCAAGTTATTTCATCCCATTTTATCCATCCAACCATCCAGGAGAGTAAACAGTATATAGAGTTATACAGGAAACCAAAACTCATTGTAAACTAAAGTACCTTATTTCAAAGAAAAAAATCTTAATTGCCAAAGAGGCAATGCTGACTCATGGTGACCCTATAAGGCAGGGCAGAGCTCCCTCAATTACACTAACTGAACGGGAGTAGAAAGCCTCATCTTTCACCTGTAGAACAGTGTATGGTTTTGACATGTAGCCCAACACATCACCGCAACACTACCAGGGCCCCATAAAGTACCTTATCTAGACAAAGAAAATATATAAAACTTTCAAGTTGTATATTAATATGACTCATGTAAGCAATACTAAGAAGACAATAAATGTTGACAGAGTTTCAGGTATCAGAGTGCCCCAACTATCAAAGGTATTTCAGCCAGTCACCTGAAATACTCAACTAGAGGAATCACAGTAGTTCATTACTATCACCAGAGCAAGCTGGTCCTCTGCCCGAAACCACGTCTTGTCATCAACACATCTCCACTAATAAAATGGATTGCAGAGGGAAACATCTCCATACAACATGCATATGTCCATACACATGGCATGTGCTTGGAATGTGGACTGTGGAGTCACACTGCCTAGGCTCAGGACCAAACTGTGAGCTCTGGCCAATCAATGTCTTCTTGCCTGAATATATTTGTATAGAGTGGGTTTTTATTTTCCTTATGGGTCGCATTTTCCTATTTCTTGGTATGTCCAGCAATTTCTTATTAGATGCAAAACATTGCAAATTTTAGCTTGTTGATGACTCTACCTTGCATTCTTTAAAAAAATTTTTTTACCTTACATTCCTTTGACCGAAGTTGGACTTGTTTTGAGATGAAATTGTGGATTAGTTTGATATTTTTCAGTGTCTCTGTAGGGTAGCACTTGTCCTTAGACTTAGTTAGGTCTTCCTGTAGGGCTTGGCTTCTCTGTGGTCTCTATGAAGGCCCTATAGCATTCTCACCTCTCTTCTAGAGAAGGGTCTAGTGATTCCTGTGAAGTTTGGGCATGACACGACTTGTCTTACAACTCTTGGGAATTGTACTTGCTTGTTTGTTTTTCCCCTCAAAAGTTGGTTTGGCTAGCTTCAGGAGGTGTTACCCTTCATGAACGCAGATTGCTAAGCAGTCAAATACTCAGTTGGTCCCCTCTGCAACTTCCTGGAGCTTTTCACTGTGTTTCTCCCTCCGTTCAGTTACTCTGATTCATGAATTATAGCCATCTTAGCCTCTTGCAATTCTGACCAGTCTCCTCGACACAGAGAGATTGCCAGACTCTATTTGGATTCCCCTACCCTCTTCTACAAGAAGACTTCATAGCGGCAAGGACGGTGAGACTTTGTCTCACCTACTTTGGACATGTCAGAAGAAATCAGTCCCTGGAGAAGGCCAACATGCTTGGGAAAGTAGCAGGGCAGCGAAAAAGAGGAAGATCTCAGACAAACATGGGCTGCATCGATGAATTCAAATGTAAGGACAATTGTGAGGTTGGCGCAGGACTGACCAGGCACACTGGTCATTCTGTTGTACATAGATGGGGTCACTATGAGTCAGACGACTTGATGGAATTTTACAACCATCCTCTACAGCAGTCGGAATTACCTCCAGGCTTCAAAAAAAGAATCTGGACAAAGTTAAGCCTCCTTTGTCTAGTTTCCTTTTTTAACTAAGGATCACAGCCTTGCACTGTGTGCTGTCCAGTATCTAAAAGCAGTTCTCTCTGTTTTATCGAGTTTTCTATTGGTTTGTGGTAGGAGAATAATTCTAAACCATCTTACTCTCAAGGACTTTCATCACTATGGTCTCCTCCCAGAATTGCATTCTTGGAAACCTTACATGGGATGAGGATGAGCCGGAATCTACTCCGGTGACAGTGGGGTTTTGGTATCAGTATAGATAAATTCATCTTAAAAGAACTTGTAAGAAGTCTGCTTTCGCAACTAGCTTCACACAACTGAACAAAGATTTCTAATTACTCACATGGTTGTTCCAAATATATATTCATCCAGGGAGCATATAATTTGATAAGATTTTTTATGTAAAATAAAAATTTGGGGTGGGTGGGAAAACATTCTTAGAAAATTATTTAGTAGACCATTTGCTTAATGTAAATTGTAAAATATGAAACTCTTAACTTCACAAGTTGGCATCCACTCATTAAGTCGACAGAGATGTGTGGAGTTTGCAAAACTGCAGTGTTAAAACTGCTGAAAGCATTACCAATAGAGCGCAATAAATCTGAAAGGATTCATGTGAATTGGTCCTACACACAATACTGCCTTTCTTAGTAGACTCTACATACTCTGTCAAGTCAACTCTGACTCAGAGCGACACTAAGGGAAGACCAGCAGAGCTGCACCAGAGGATTCCTGATACTGCTTTTAAGGAAGCAGACTGCCTCATCTTTTATTTGCGAAGTGGCTGTTGGATTTGAACCAGTGATCTTTGGTCAGCAGTTCAATGTATAACCCACAGTATCATTGCCATGCCTTTTACTTAGTTCTGTAAATATTCTCACTTACTGCCCTTGAGTCCATGCTAATTCAGAGTGACCCTGTAGGACAGGGTAAAACTGTCTCCTGAGTTTCTGAGACTGTAAATCTTCACGAGAGTAAAAAGCCCCATCTGTCTCCTGAGGGGCTTGAGCTGGTGATTCAAACTGCCGACCTTGCACTTAGCAGCTCCTTGCCTTGAGAATATTGCTTGTTAACCAAAGACCCCAGAGAAGTTAAGCAGTTTACTTTTGAATATATTGAGATAACGTGGTGTACAGACAAAGGCGAGATGGAGAGGTGTCATTCTTTATTTTAATTCTATAAAGCTCTCTGGGCCATCGACAAAGCAGTTCAGAATACCTTTTCCAACTCCCACTTTTTCGTCCACTTCCTTTCCCCAAGTTAAGGAGGATAAAAGAAGGTGTTACTGGTTTCTTTATGGAAAACCAAAAGAATAACCCCAAACTCCCTGCCATAGAGTCGATGCCAACTCATAGTGACCTTAAAGGCCACTGTAGAATTGCTCCTGTGGGTTTCCGACAGTTAACTGTTTACAGGAGTAGAAAGCCCCGTCTTTTTCCCTTCTTTAAGGAAGGGAAAGAGTCAAATCCTCAAGTTCTTCCATCCCACCTCTTGGCCTGTAACAAGAGTTCCAGACTACTTATCATAGTCATCAGATGATCTAGAATCAAGCCTCTGTTTTTACATAAATGAAAGTTAAGGAGGCTAAGTCTCCGGCCGAGATGAAATAGAAATTACACATGGAACAAAAAGACTGATATCGTTAACCCACTGGCTGCCGGGGTGGCGCTGTCAGTGGTTCAAACGCACCAGTGGATCCACAGGAAAAAGATGAGGCTGTCTGTTCTGGTAAAGACTTAGCTTCTGAAACCCTATATTACAGCGGTTCTCAACCTGTGGGTCGTGACCCATGATCCTTTCACAGGGATTGCCTGATTCATAACAGTAGCAAAATTACAGTTATGAAGTAGCAACGAAAGTAATTTTATGGTTGGGGGGGTCACCACAACATAAGGAACTGTATGGAAGGGTCTCAGCATTAGGAAGGTTGAGAACTGCTTATAAGGATGCTTCTTTGGCAGTAAGGAAGTCCTGGTGGCATAGGCCTTGAGCTGCTAACTATAAGTGTTGGGCTGCAAACCATATGGTTAGCAGTTCAAAACCACCGGGTGATCCACGGGAGGAAAGACAAGGCCTTCTACTCCCTGTGAAGAGTTACAGTCTCAGGACCCTGTCCTGTCGGGCCAGGATGCCTTGATGACAATGAGTGTGATGGTGACGGTAGGAATGGCTCAGATAGAGTTTTCAACCAAATATCCCATAATAGAGGGCTGGTTAAATGTAGCATGACACTTTAATCACTGTTCAAAGGAACAGACAAGAGACTGGCAGAGCAGGGAACTACCTGGTGGCGCAATGGTTACAGCGTTAGACTGATAACCAAAACGGACCAGCCTCTTCGCGCTGAAATGTGGCTCTGGAAGCCCAACCGTGGTTCTGTTCTCTGCTGCAGAGTCGCTGGGTCGGAAGTCTACACCATGCCAGTGAGTGTGGCTTGGGTGTAAAAGGGTGGGCACTGGGTATCTAAGGGCATGTTTATTTACACGATGGGTCTGTGGTGGACAAGCAGAAGAAAATAAAATAGTGAAATCCCGCAAAGTGATGTCAGCAAGCAGTCCAGAGCCATCAGCTCTAACTCCTAGGCCACACCGCAGCCTTCCAGTCGCCGCGTTATGCAAATAAACCAGAAGTAGGCGGGCGCCCTTCTCCGGACTCCGCCCACCCGGCCGTGCGCCTGCGCCTGCACCGTCCCCGCCCCGCCCCCTCTCCTCCCCCGCCCGCGTGGCCGCCGCCACCGCAGCTGCCCGAGAGGAGCTGGGGGAGGACGGTGGCCGGCGAGGCTCGTCGCAGGCAACGCGGCGGCGATGTCCGCGAGCCAGGCGAGTGCCGCGGCGGCAGCGGCGGGGCCTCGCGCGCGGCAAGGCGGCCTAGGCTTCGGCCTCCCTCCGGTTCCCGGGAAGCGGGCCGGCGGCAAGCGCGGGAGCAGCAGCAGAGGCGGAGGCTCTGGCGCGTCCCTCACCTCAGCCTCTGCCTGAGCCGGGGGCAGGCCCGGCGGGCGGCCCGGGTGGCTGGAGTGGGGTCCGCTGCCCGAGGATGGGAATTCTCTTCACCAGGATATGGAGACTGTTCAATCACCAGGGTGAGGGGCTCCGGCCGCGGGCGTACGGGGAGGGGAGAGGGTCAGTCCGGGCCGGGCGTGGTGAGGGGCTCCTAATACTTCCGGAGCGTGGGCGGCGCGGTCCGGCGCCACCGGCGCGGGCTGCGGCGGTGCAATCTGGGGCCGATCACCCCCACTGCTTCCCGTGGGCTCGCTTCCCGGCTCGCAGCCCTTTGTCTGACCGGGCCTTCCCCAAGAAACCCATTCCGCAAATGCACCCATTGCTCCGATTCCGACGGGAGCGGGCAAGGTTTCCTGCCCGACGTCTCCAGGGTGGCACTTCCATGCCTGCCTCCCCGCCCTGCCGGCCTGCAGCAGTTGTTTGAACTGCGCAGGGATGCTCTAGGCTCCTTGAGGTGAAGGCGGTAGGTGACGGCCCTAGCCGCCACACTGGGCTGTTGAGGGGTGCAGAATGCGGAAAAATTGGAGGAATCGCTCTCGAATTGTCCAGGGCACCCAAGGACCCTTCCCTCCACCGTAGCGCTCCTTCTGGAGAGGCCTCTTCCGCATCCTGAATAGTGATGAACTTTCTCTTTTTGCTTTATTCACGTAGTCTGTTCTTAAGGTTAAGTAGGATCTGGACATATTTTCCCCAACTGCTCACCCCCAATTTCTCCCTATTGCTCTCTTTCCCTCCCTGAGTTAAAAATGTGTAAGCGTTTTTGAAAGCACTTTATAACCGTACCGAATCAAACATTAAGTTGTAGCTCAGTGGTTCTCAACCTTCCTAATGCAGCCTTTAGTACAGTTCCTCATGTTGTGGTGACCCTCCCAGCCATAAAATTATTTTATTTGCTACATTATAACTGTCATTTTGCTACTGTTATGAATCGGGCGACCCCTGTGAAAGGTTCGCTTGACACCCCCCCACCAAGGGTTGAGACCCACAGGTTGAAAACCATTGCTGTAGCTAATGAGCGTGCTAAGTCATAGAGTATATTATACAAGGATGCTTATGTTCATTCAGTCAATTACGTTCAAATGCAGGTTATGTTTGGGAAAACTTTCAGAGTGAGTGTCTGAAGCTGGAGAAAGGTAATACAATTTAGACAAAATATGCCACAGTTACCAGGATAGAGTGAGTCGGTCATGTGTCTTTGTTTCCTTTTCATTCAGGTTGGGTGATTCATCGTCCCTGCTGTCTGTCAGTAACTTCGTTTGTGTTTTTTCTCTTGTGGAAGCTGGTTGTGGTGTCACATCCCAAAGTTTCCCACTCATGAATGGTGACTTCTATTACATAGACCTACTACCCCACCTCCACCTTCATGATTCAGCCCCTCCTATCGGAAGGTGAATGGAAAGGCGTAAAACTGGACTTGAAATCCCCGTGTCTCTTTAAAAAAAAGAAAGGGAAAAAAAGATAGTGCTCATCACATAACACACAATGTAAAGGTAGTATTTCGAATAATATTTCTGATACCGAGACTTGTCATAAAGCAGAGAAACCTAGTTCTAAGCGACTGTGTCTCTGGCTGGCTAGGAAGAAAGACTGTGAGTGGGCAGCACCCCTTAACCTCACCAGGCCTCCTTGCTCTCACCTGTATGGATTGTCAGCAATCGCCCTGAGTGATTCTGGAGCCTATACATCTTGAAGACTCAGTCTCTAGAACACAAGTGTCCTACCCATGACAACTTACCCGCTGTAAGACTGGTTGGTGGTGCTTACAGTAGATAAGATGTGGTTTTAATATTGATAGTTTTGTATCATTGTTAGCAAAACTCTAGTTACAACTCTACTGAGTCTTCAAAACACGTTGCTTAACTGAGCCCAAGTACTGCCGGAAAAAATGAGAGCTCTCTGCTTTCTATTTTGAATCGTTAAAATTGTTTTTGCAACTTAAGAATGAATTAGAACTTTGCTCCCAGCTGCTTATCAACAATAAATAGTAATGTTAGATGTGCTTGACTGCTAAACATCACTAATAGTGGTGTTCTTTTAACTTGTATTTCGTGGTCATTTTTGATTGGATCTTTCCTTCAGTGTTGCTGGGAAATTAATGCCCAGAAGAATTCACACAGTCAGGTTCTAGAATGCTAGGTGTCAGTACTGTGACATGAGAGTAAGCACTCTGGCTTACTCTTGATCATGTGGCTTACTTGTCAGCCATGTCACTTTTCACAGCAGCCGCCCTTAAAGCAGCTTGGAACTTGTTGGTCTGTTCGGTTCTGTGTATTGGATATCGATGCCTTGCTTTACCTTCGGAACCAACAGCACGATCCTGTATTCTTTTTTTTTTTTTCCTGTGTTCTTTTCATAGAAGTGCTTTGGAAGATTTTGGGGGTTACATAATTTGCCTTGCTGAAGTTGAGGTAGGTCCAATTAAACAATGAAATTGGGCACCGCTCAAACTAGAAAAACCAGAGATTGCATTAAGCAACATTTACATTCAGAATAGTGTAACCTTTGACCTATATGTTGGCATATAAGTCTTTTTTGTTTGTCTTAATGGTTCAAGAATCCTTTGAAGTAATTGTTCTTTCTCTCTGATGAAGTAATTGTTCTTTCTCTCAAGTACAGTGACCCCCCCACCCCCCACCCCCCGCCCCCAGGTCACAACTGTGCCAGAGCCAGATAAGTGAAAACATTAAAGAAGGTTTTGCTGATTGTTGCTTTATAAAGGAAGAGATTGACATGATTTCTCCCTCCTTTTCCCTGTTAACTCTTCCTCTGTTACTAAGCTGTTCAAAAAGTCCAAACCAAACTGGCTGCCTTAAAGTCATTGTTGACTCAGCAATCCTACAGGACAAGGTAGGACTGCTTTTGTGAATTTCTGAGACTGTAACCCTTAAGGAAGTAGAAAGCCCCATCTTTCTCCCATAGAGCTTCTGGTTGATTTGAACCAGTAACTACTATCACTTTAGGATTTTGCCTTGATGTTGTTAAGTGTTGTCATGTTGATTTTAACTCATGAACATCCTCGTGACAGAGATTCACCCCAAAGGGCTTCCTGGGTGCTCTGCTTCCACAGAGCATTGGCTGAGTATTTATTTATTTATTTATTTGCTTTGTGCCACCATGGCTCCTTAGGACTTTCAAAAATTGCTATTCATGTCTTTGAATAAAGAAGGGCTTATGACCAATGCTTTGTTTATTAAATACATAAATTTTGAGCACTCACATTGTGCCAGAAATTTCTAGGTGGTAGGGCTAGGCAGGTAATAAAACAAAGTCCCTTTGCCCATCTGGAACTTTCAGTTGTGTTACTAGTACTAACATTTCCTGACTTATGCAAGGTTAGATTCAAAGTATTTTACATAGGTTGGCTGCTTTAATCTTCACTTGTTGGTTTCACAATAACCCAAGAGGTAGCTAGTTTCCCTATCGACAGGGGCAAAGAATCACGAGGAAAGTTGGTCAGGGCACTAGAATTAAGAGTGGTGAACCTAGGATTCTAATCGAGATTGTCTGGGGCCAAAGTCCAGGCTCTTGAAAACACGTTCTTTGCATCAAAAGGATTCATGTTAAATAAAGGGAAGAACTTTCTGACATGAAAGTGAGCTGTGGAAAAAAGTTCTGGAATCTCCCAGTGGTGGCCTATTTATAAGTTTCTTCTGACTGGTGCCTTGTATCACTCATTTGAGTCCAACTCAAACTTCCCTTGTGGGTTTCCAAGATTGCAACTTCTCAAGGATGTAGAAATTAACTGTTCACTCTCTCTCCCAAGGAATTGTAAATTGTAACGAATAAGTGCTGGAGAAGCCACCATATTTTGGGAGTCTGGTGCTGGGGACTGGGAGCCCTAGTGGTGTAGTGGTTACAAGTTGAGCCTCTGAGCGCAATGAATTTGGTTTCTGGTTTGGTGCTGGGGAATTCCTACCTGTTTCAGTTTTGCTTTTGTCTTTGAATTACATGAGAGTTCAAAGATGTGTAGAACAATACAGAGTGAAGTGAAATGGTTGTGGCAAACCAACAATCTCTTGACTTATTGCCTAACTTTAACTAGTTTCCCACTCTGGAAATGGAAATGGGTCTGTTAATTTTCTTTGGCCACTTGGTATAGTGTTACACTTTGTGGAGAGTGGACATGGGACAGCACTGGCGGGAGGAAAGGGTTTTTCTTCCTGGTTACCATGTGCTCCCTCACAGGCTCCACCCTGTTCCTGCAGCTCCAGCGGCTTCCCCAGGGCCTGACTGCTCCGCTGCGTAGTGATCAGTGCAGCCAGCTTCCCCCATCACCGTCAGATGGCTTCTCATGCGGGCCTCCGTTGAAGGCCCTCTTCCCAATACACTTTCTGTAGTAGCCTAGAGCAGCGGTTCTCAACTTGTGGGTCGCCACCCCTTGGGGGGGTGGGGTGTCAAACGACCCTTTTCACTGGGATCGCCTGATTCATAACAGTAGGAAAATTGCAGTGATGAAGTAGCAATGAAAATAATTTTATGTTTGGAGGGGTCACCACAACATGAGGAACTGTATGAAAGGGTCACGGCATTAGGAAGGTTGAGAACCACTGTCCTAGAGGAAAGATTTCTATCAAGTTAACTGACATGACAGCAACTTCTCTGCCATTCAGTGAGCCCTAGCATGCCCTCCAGTGAGGTCTGTGTCTAAGCCCTGAGAATACTCTTCCTTGGGTGTTGTGTCTCTGCACCTGGGGTAGCATCTTCTTTAGATTGTCATGCTTGTCATCTTTATACATTTTACTTAATACCAGCCAATCCCTCATGCTAATAATCCCCTCACATTTCAAGGTGTTTTTTTTTATATATTAAATTTGGGCTCAATAGAAAGTAAATGTCTAGAAAAGAATGAGGGCAACAAAGTACAAACTTGCTTGATTCAATTGATGTATGGATTATAAGAGTTGTATGAGCCCCCAATAAAATGATTTTTAAAAAGATTTCTGTTCAAATTATTAGTTTCTCTTTGCTAGTTCTCTAATTTTGCCATATGCAACCATTCCTTTGGTCTTTAGGAATCTCTTGGTGAAAATGCCTACTTCACACACACACACACACACACACACACACACACACACCCAAC